AAAAAGACCTTTTCCTATATCATATTCGTTCCTCATTTCCCCCTTTAGCTAACGACTAACCGAAAAGGAAAAAAACGAACGAAATTAGGTATATTATATACTATGAAATTATCAAGGAACACCACTAACGTAATCCCTCGGGCACGCCCGCCTGCCCCGTCATCGCCTCCGTCCTCGTCATCCCTTTCGGAGGACGAAAACGAGGAGCTTCAACGGCTCGAGCACGCGCCGCCCTTCTGGCGGAACCCTAGCGGGGACCGCCGGAAGCTCTCGAAACAGCTGTCGCTCTGCGAAATCCCGCGCGACATGGCTTGGGAGCGCCGCCGCCGCCAGTTCCTCCTCTGCCAGGAGCGCAGGCGAAGCAGTTTAACCAACAGCAGCAGCAGCAACAACAACAATAACAATAATAGTGATAATAGTAAAAATAATAATAATGTGGGGGAAATGATGACCGATCACGATCTGACGGACGAGGACTTGAATGAACTGAAAGGTTGCATCGAGTTGGGGTTCGGTTTCAACGAGGAAGACGGGCAACGACTGTGCACGACAATCCCAGCACTCGACCTTTACTTTGCGGTGAACAGACAGCTGTCGACGAGCCCAGTTTTGAGCCCGTGCAGCAATGCCAGCTCGTCGAACATTGGGGGGAGGTCATCGTCGTTCGGGGGAAGCCCGATGAGCGACTCGGAATCCAACTGGAAGATTTGCAGCCCGGGTACGTGTTCGTACGACTCGAAAGGATGGATTTTTTAGGTTTGTGGATTGAATGTGTTTTGTTTATATAATATGACATGTATGTTGTGAATGTGAACAGGTGATGACCCTGAACATGTGAAGACAAAGTTGAGGCATTGGGCACAAGCAGTGGCTTGTTCTGTGAGGCAGTCTTCTTGAAAAAAGGTTAACCTTTAGACGAGTCTGACCCGCCATACTATATGAACAAAGATGCATACTTGTACTATCAAATGTCATACTTTAGTTTATGTTATTTTTTAAAGTACAACAATTTATTGTAAACGTATGCATATTTGTGAAAAAAAAGTATGTCGGTCTAATGGTTAAGCTTCCATTTAAAGAGCTAGAACGAGGACA